GGTGAAAAAGAAAACTAATTCGATTCGAATTCACCAAGAAACGTGACAGATAAAACAATGTTTTCTCTCATTAAACATGCATCTATTGTCTCAGATCTATCATTATGGTTTTCCTAGAATATTGTCGTTTCTTTAATGAAGTAAAGAATTCTTCTCAGGGGTATGGTATCGAGGTCTTCATTGCGCAAAAATAGTTTTTAGGTACCATTGCCTTTTCCTAGTTATTGCAGAACAGTTACATAGGATTTAGTCGACATTGGTCATCTGTTAATGGTCCTATTTTTATTTTGGTATTTTTACTGTCCCGTATGGAGTCGTTAGGATTTGTTCTTTTAAAACTTTCGTCTATTGTGTCGATCTCTGCTAAATTATTTCCTGGGTGATATTTCTTTCTTTTATGAAGTAAAGAATTCTTCTGAGAGGTAGGGTATCAAGATTAGCGTGGTTTAAGCGTGGGTTTTCCTGATATCATAGCATAATCCTAGCTATTTCAGGACAGTTGCGTAAGATATGTTCTGTCGTTTTCTGTCTCTTTTAAACATAACCGACATTGGTCACCTGTTGACAGTCCAATTTTTTTAAGATGATGTTCGACTGGAACATGTCCTGTAAATTACTGCAGTTATTAATTCCTTTCTGTTAAGTAGGATTTCTAGTTCTCTTGTAATGTGGCTATATTCTATGCTAAAAAATGGATGTTGTTCAAGGCTCCCACATTAGCTAGACTGTCTGCTTCCTCGTTGGGCTTAGCATTAGTCTATTTGTCGATCGAGTTTTTCAGGGTGATGAGGCAGTTTCAGGCTAATTTCGATCTCATAGACTTGGAGTGCCTTTAGAGCTGCATGGATGAGAGATTACCCTTGAGATTTCTGTTATTTATTTCGTATTTCTATAGCTACCAGTTTGTCGAATGATGGTTTAGTGGAAGCTACGACCATACGGTGTTTACAGATAGTCCTCTTTATATCCATCACCATCTTTGAGCTATGTGTATACCGGCTTCAGGTATTTATTCTTTTGTATTATCTTTTAATTTTGCTCTCCTTTCAATAATCATGTTGGATGGTTTTTCAAAGTATATAATTTTTTTCTAATGAGGAAGGGAAAACTTTGTCAAAAATTTTGGTTTGGCCAGGTTTTGTTTGATGATTGCACACCACTTACGAATTCTCAATCCTATAATCGCTCCTATACTTTTAGCGTAGGTAAAAATGTGGGAATGCAGAAGAATGTAACATAGGAAATGTGGGTGTTGTTTTAAGAACACCAGTGATGCTTAGGTATGCTATTTACTTTTTATAATAGTCCCCCTGCCTTTTTTGTTCACCATATCTAACTTCATATATGATTATGGGTCTGACTACCGCCATAAGGTCATCTTAGGAATTAACCCAAATGTAGCCACCCCATTGGAGATACAAGTTTTAACTGTTCGCTTTAGACCTCATGTTTGGCTGAAATTGGACTTCTTTGTAGTGTTGTCCAAAGATTTCTGCAATAACTGTAAAAAAATCATGAATGTCGAGATCTTTGCAAAGCGATTGATTCCTAACAATCAATGATAGTAACGCCAACTAACGGAAGTGTGTAATTTTCACTAGACCGCTTTATGGGAAATAACTCGAGTGGATAACAACATTCAGCCCACTGAGGAACGGCTAGTTTATTGAATAGGATTTTTGGTGATTCGAAAGATAAAATTGATATTTACTGAAAACCTACATTGCGAATTTCTGATCTAAAGATTTTCAAAGATGTCGCTCATTCTATGTTACAGCACCGGATGTACCAGTGTAATAGGAACAACAGAAAACCAAGTATATGTTCTGAATTCAACCAAATTATTAGTAAATTCGAGATTCATTCTGGACTTTTATTTCAGGAAGGACTTCTATTTCGATATGTGCCGTTTTTTGTACAATTTTTTTAATAATAGCATTTTATGATATAGCGTTAAAAAAAGCATGAAATGCTTTGAAACTGTTACGGAGATAATTGAAAATGAAGCAAAGTGTGCCGCGGGCATTTCCTCGTGCTTGGAGCGGTTTCCTTGTCTTGGCATTCCCACCGAATAGGAAGTCAAACCCCCTTCAATCCACCCAAAGTTTAGGCAAGGTTTTTTTTATTGAGAAAAAAAAAGAAAAAGAAACGCCCCTATTGATTTCTACAATTTCAACTGCCTGTGATAGATTACCCCCTTGACCTTTTCCTTCGCCAGCAATCCCATTCCATGTTATGCTTGTACTCGGTTTGATGAAAATACCGAGTTGAAATATTTTATCTGTACATCTAAGAGGCCTGACACCATGTTTCTGGAGTACCTACTTTAAAAAATTAATGCCTTAAATTTAAAATAAACAGGCTATTTATGTAGCAGCAAATTGTCCTTAAATCATGACTGATTTTTGAATGGAAAAGATTGTACCGATTTTGCAGATGACGGATACATTTTTAAAAAGTATGTTTATTTTATTATATTTAATTACATATTGACCCTTTGCGGTGAATTTAACTGTACACGACACGTTAAAAAAAAGGGTTCCCAAGTAATGTTTGGACTTATTTAATTATTAAATCTATTATATTTAGTGGTCTATTGACCAAATTACTTCTTTCAATTAATTAATATTTTTATGTAAGGGTTTGGTTGAGATGAAAAAGCTAGTGCCACGAAGTCACGATAGCTCAAGTGGTGGAGCAGCGGCGTATTTAACCGAAGGTCGTGGGTTCGAATCCCGCTCGAGGCACTAGCTTTTTCATTTCAGCCAAAACCTTACATAAAAATATTAATCATTTAATTATTCTTACATAACATGATAATCGTTGAAATTAGGTGTGCATAACCAATTAGTTAACAATTTATGTAAACCAAAACATTTTTTATTGATTTTTAAGTTAGAGACCAACTCCGCCGGCTGTTTTATACCATGCAATGATTTTTCCTTTGTATAACATATGCAAATATTTCACTAAATTATCTATCAATTAGTATATTTATTTATCCACACAATTAACACTCGTCGTTCTTTTTGAACATTAACCTGTTGATTTTGCATAGAAATTACAAAAAAAAGTTACATCATGTTTTCAATAGGTACTTAACTACTTTGTGGTAATTTTACCAGTCTTTTATTTATTATTATTAAACTTGAGCATAATTTACTGTTTTAGAGACCTTTGGAATATTAAAATTGATTAAACAAACGTCAATAAAAATTTATTATTTTTTGTACGATCGATTGCCACAATCCAAAATTTTTGGCAATTTTTTCCGATTCAAACGAGATATGTCATAATTTAACGGCACCTTCTGAACTGAAGAAAGTGGAAAGCCGAAACACGCTTGGCAGACAAAAACATAAGGATAGTCAGACTAACATGATCTCAAAGCTTAAGATCAAAACATTTAATAGATAATGAATAAATTGGCCAAAAAAATGTATAATATATCTTTTCGTAAAGCCCTGAAGAAGGTAGAATAAAGTGCCGAAAGCTAGGAGAAGATTTAAAATTGAAAATATCGTTCTTAGACCACACCCCTGATAACAAGTAAGATAACATTATCTGCATAAGTTGGTCGATATAAGTACAAAAAGATAATGATGTTAAAATTTGGTTAGGATTCAATTTCTCTAATAATCCTAATGGTGATCAGTTTTCGGTACATTCTTCAGTACCTTTCACTTTCAATTGAATCTGCTAAAACCAGAAAAAGTGCAAACCTGATCAGCATTCCGGGCGAATTTACGATCAAGGTTTAGGCCCAAAGTCTTTTGGCATGGGGGCCGACATTTTTTTTTAACCGGTCCCGAGTTCTTGACTGTCAGTGACACAAGAGAAGGTCCGGCGGCGTAAGGAGGACTTTCCCGTACGACCTAGAGCTGCGGGTGCCAAGGTCATCGAATCTGCCCCTCCCAACATTTGTAGGACAACGTTCGGCAATTTGTCCTTTTTACCCCCGTTTCGTACAATTTGCATTGCAGATCGAATTTTTTTAAAAATTGCAACGATAAATCATCAATATCCAATCATTTCAACACATAATATATGCATTATAAAAATTAATATAAATAAATAGACCGTAATATAATTCGTACAAAGCATGTGGGTGAATGGATGAATCTTTTACAAAGTTTTTTTTTTATATATCGCACATTACCACATCATTACATCATGAAAGGAAGCAAGTGAAATCTGACAATGTCATTATTTGATAATTTCGCCCGTGTAAGTAGTTTACCTTCATCTATTCCGAGTCAACTGACCCAGACACAAAACCAGGTCATAGAGAAAAGCAACAGAAGAACATAATACATAGATGTATTTTAATATCATATTTTGTTTTCTGGTTTTGTATTTCCTTTATTGTATAATAGCCAGTTAGAGGAGTTGCTGAACAAACAAAAAAGTAATTTGTAGTGAAATTGTTGTAATTATTCCTCCCAATGAGACTAGACGATCTACGGACAATTTTTAATCAAAATCGACATTTTTGTAGTTGTATTTATTCTTGTGGTCTTCTTTAAACTATAAATTTAACGGTCAAATTTGTTGGGTTCGTTAGCAGCGTTATGGTTTAAAGGGTACATTCTTGGCAAGGTGTACAGCTTTCAAGGATCTGCGCATTATTGTATATGAACTAGAGATAATAATGTAACATGTTAAATTGTCAGAACAAAAGTAAAATCCACTTAACTGTAGGTTGGTTTATTTAACGGCCTGTCATTTTAATTATATACTATATATGGATGTATGATGGTTGTGGCTGAACAGTGTGAAATACTTCAGAGATGTATTGTGTTAATTACGAGGATGCTACCTTATTTCTGACCCTTTGACATTGTCGTTAGAGTTCATCCGTGGAATTTAAGCAGGAAAAAAGTTTTCGGATTACCTTAATTTGAGGAAGGTGAAATAATGTTTTATGACCGACGAGGGCGAGGTTGTTGCCGTAGGTGGGATTGATCTTTCACAACAGTGGCGGGGTGCACATATAAAAGGGAGGAGAAGTTTTAACCGATCATTGGATATTTTCGTATACCAACGATACAGAAATGGTTTTCAAGGTGGGTATTGAACCGCAAGATAAAAATTCCATTTGTCTTAATTTTCAATTTTTTGTTTATATTTTGAGAATTTTAACTGAAATTGTTCATAGTTCGTCGTTTTGGCCGCTTTCGTCGCCGTGGCTAAGGCCGGAGTTCTCAGCGCCCCCGCTGTCGTCGCCCCAGGCGCACCCTTGGCTTACGGCGGATACGCCAGAGGACTCGGCTACGCCGCCCCTGTGGCTTACGCCGCCCACGCTGCCCCTGTCGCTTACGCCGCCCATGCCGCTCCCGTCGCTTACGCCGCCCACGCTGCCCCTGTCGCTTACGCCGCCCATGCCGCCCCAGTCGCTTACGCCGCCCCCGTCGCTAAGGCCGTCGTAGCCACCCACGCCGCCCCCGTCCTCGCCAAGACCGTCGTCGCTGACGAATACGACCCCCATCCCCAATACAGCTACGCCTACGATGTTCAAGATGCCCTCACCGGTGACTCCAAGAGCCAACACGAAACCCGTGACGGAGACGTCGTCCACGGAAGCTACTCCCTCGTAGAAGCCGACGGAACCCGCCGTACCGTCGACTACACCGCCGACCCCGTCAACGGATTCAACGCCGTCGTCCACAAGGAAGCCGCCGTCGTTAAGGCCGCCGTCGCCGCCCCCGTCGTCGCTAAGGTCGCCGCCCCAGTCGCTTATGCCGCCCCCGTCGCTTACGCCGCTCACGCCGCACCCGTCGCCTATGCCGCCCACGGATACGCCGCTCCCGTCGTCGCCAAGGTCGCCACCCCCGTCGCTTACGCCGCTCACGGATACGCCGCCCCCGCCTACTACCATCATTAAATTGTATCAATACGATGTAAATATTTATTTATAAACAGAAAATTGAAAACAAAATTGGGTTTACGTGTAAATTTGTTTTGTCCACAATCCAAACCTCTCTCTCCAATTTCACCTATCTAACAATAAGGTAAAATAAATTGATGTCCAGTTCCAATACACTGTTACATAGCGTAAAACATAATTATGATTTAATACAGTTGATTTATATAGTTTATTTACCTGGAAGGAAATACTTCCATCGTGGTGTCAATGAATATTAATTAATTGTTACAAACCACCGTTCATCAACGTCGTGAGAGAAATGTGGTATACACGCCCCGTTCATTGGTTTACTTGGCCTATGCAACCCGATACATTCATCAGTGAAAACATTAGACAAAATCAAATTAAAACCAGTTGAAGTTTATAATTTCTATCTATAATTCAATTCAACTCTGTGGAAAGCATATATATTTCATAGATATAATAGAAGAAGTAAAAGAGATGCAATATGCTACAACAGTAAGATTGATTTTTGTGAACTATGGGGTGATGAACCTGATAAACTAACCTACCACTGGAGCTGGCGAAAAACCCATAGCGTGTGACAAACAAAAACAGCGATGATAGGGGGACTAAAATTATCAGGAACGACCAAGCCACAAGCAAATTGCATGCTGAGCATTAACAATGGCAATGAGAATTATAACACACTTTAAAACATATTTTTGCCGACCTGCTACGTCCGACAAAACGTTCCAAATTCCAATGTTTTCGATCCACCTGATATAGCTCGTAAGTTAGCAAGTTGTGAAACAATCTTAATTTTTTTGGATTGATATGTGCCAAGAGTATCAAGAATTCAACTTTACAACTTTCAGATTGGCCAAGCATGAGAAAAAAAACCGTGCAAAAATTTAAAATATTTTAGGTTTCTCGGTTTCGTCCCGTGATTTGCGTTTTTTTTTTTTTTTTTCCGCAATAGCAGAGGTCATATAAACCCTCAGGGTGCCGGTGTTTTTGAAAAAAAGCCCATTTGTAAGTATGTCGGGTTAGAATGCAGGGCCGCTGGATTCGAACCCGGGACCTTACAGTGATAAGCGCCGTGTCAAAGACTAACCTTGTGGCCACCGACGCCCCTACTTAAGTAGTTCTTCTCTATCCTTTACCTCGTTTTGAAGGATTCTTCCTTCTTTCTTCCTTGATTACTATCCTAATAAGATTCCTAGCTGGGACACTGCGGACTAATGGGCATCTGTGGAAGATTGCAATCAACCAACACGGTTCGTGCAGATTTTGCGAAGAAACAGAATAGCCCCCAACTCACCTACTGAAGAAACTACTTTGTTACACTTATCTACAAGAGAAATGCGTTGAGATGTAGAACGTACAAAAGAAAAAATACAACCCCTAAAACTGTACCTAATAATAAAATTCTATGATAAACTGTTACTTACTGGTGCATTACGAGGGTTACAATAGATAGCCAAATCTCACCGAATTGTTACATCTACATGTACAAGGCTTCTTCCAGTTGCATTTATTTCATTTGTTTAATTTATCCTATGGATCTCGGACAGCCAACTTAGTCTCTCTTTCGTCTGTCATTTCAGTCCTTCCCAACTCGACGTCCATGAAATCGTAACCAATCATTTTTTACTATCAATCACAGCTATTTTCTTGAATCTTTAAATTTGTCCACTGTATAAATTTTAATAAATTATTTCGAACCTACAAGATCTTATTTTCCTTTTCTTTCTCCTCATCATTTCGACCTTATTTTTTTAAAAGACAAAGCAGAGCTTCTAGACGTCACAAAGACAGAATCTGAGCAACCTCGGATCACCTGGGACTCCAGTGTTCCACGCTTTTAACACTGATTTGCAACTAAAGAAATTCTATCTCTATTAACTGTTTTTGTTCGTTTAATCAGGTGTGACTATATAGCATTCCTAAACTCATGTTTCTCAGGTTGTTTTCAGAGGATCGAAATCTTTGATCTTCGAACAGGATATATGCGGTTAAAACACGTACGTTTGATTTTAGATCGACGTATCTGCTGGTATACAAAGAATGGCCGTTTAATACGTCATTCCATGGCTCTTCTTAGAGAGCGTGTAGGAATTCCAACTGATATGAAAGTAGCGCCTGAACTGGTCTTTATATCAACTGAGACGATTTTTGGGATACACAAGGGTGTACTGTGTATAGTATGTATAACAAATGCCTGTGTTAAATCTAATTATTAGCGTGAATGTTTAGTATGATAGGGCCGACGATTGAATATTGAAAACACATCTGCCTTCAAGATTAGTCAATTAGCTTATGCAATGTGTTATGGAGAAATGTCGAATACTGAAGGGTGACATCTATTTTAAAGTTACGTTTTAGGCTGAAAAGATCTAGCTATCCATAGCCCGGAGCCTTGGGTGGGCAAGACGGACAAGAGGTCTAACCCGAGGCAGGTAACAACACAGGACTAGGTGATTCTCACGGCAAGCCGTGAGAAGCCTGATTTTAATAGTTCTCCCTGGGAGACTGCGCAACCTCCGAGGGTGCGAATATTCCATGACGGAGCCAATTTGGATATATTATCTTCGTAATTTAAAGTTCTGACGACAGATACGTATCATTCGGGCAGTTTCGCCAACGGCAGATTGCAGTCAAGTCTCCTCGGAATCGGTGTCACAAGTGCACCTGCAGGTGATAGCTAAAGTGCACGTGCACAGAGAAACTCTATGCACGTTTTATCCCGCCCTCGTTCTATCTAGATAGTAAAGTCTATTCGCAACAGCTATTTACAAAATACAAATAAAACGTGATATTATTTTAAACCATTATTACATTATCGGCGTGTCTTCGTAGGTTAATCCGCCCCTCTCATCCTTATAAAAATTTGCATATTCTGTTCTAAAAAAATTACTCTTTCATTATTACTTGACTAGAGTCAACAACCTTAATCAAAACGTCCTGAATTTAGAGTAATACATGACGTCGAACGTTACAAATTCAAAAGCCATTTTCATCATATTGTACTACATGATAATTGAAAACAACGATGAAATCATTGATCGCATTAAATCATAATTTGTATTTACGGATGTCCGAAACATTTCATTTCTTTTTAAATTTGCGCCCCTATACAAAATAAGAAAAACAACATTTAAAATTTTGGTGGTGGTTGTTGGTCTGCAAGTCGGTGAACACATGTCAAATTGATGTTCACTCTTCCGCAGGAGTTCCTCACTGAAGATGACGTGAAGCCGAAATGAGTTTGTGTCTAACTTAAGCCATAATGGCTAGACGGTCCCCCTAAAGTGTTCAAATGGTAATCAGTTAACATCCTTCGACTTCTGTGCCCATATAATGCTACTATTTGATATTTTATAAATTGCATGTAACTTTATTTAATAGACCTATTTTTGCATGCGAATCAGTGGGTACCTGATCCACTTAGTATTTAATTAGAACAGTCGACCGCCTTTACGTCCACTACATCAAAAACTGTTGAAATCGGATAACATTGACTTTTGTGTATACTAGTTATTATATCCATCATTGGTTTATTAATTGCGTAATGAGGCCTTACTAACTTGCTCAAACGAGTGTAAAATTTACGTGTGGGTTCACTTAATCCCGAGGTAGAAGTTGTGTAGTCCATGGAATTCGGGCAAGGAGGGGCCTAACCCCCAACCCCACTCACGTGAGATTGTGTAACGACGGCCCGACTTATATAAAGGCCCAGCATCACACACTGGTCACTGATACACTTAAAGTTATCAACTCAACATGTACAGGGTAATTCAATAGACTGAAAACTCTACGTTGTTGAAAAGTTCGATACATGTGTACATTTGAATTTTTTTTCCAGCTTTTTGTTTTGGCCGCTGTAGTAGCTGTAGCTAGGGCTGGAGTCGTCGGCGCTCCCGCTGTCGTCGCCCCAGGCGCTCCCTTGGCTTACGGTGGATACGCCAGAGGACTCGGCTACGCCGCCCCAGTAGCCCATGTGGCCCATGCCCCGGTAGCTTACGCCGCCCATGCCGCTCCCGTCGCTTACGCCGCCCATGCCGCCCCTGTCGCTTACGCCGCCCATGCCGCCCCTGTCGCTTACGCCGCCCCTGTCGCTAAGGCCGTCGTAGCCGCCCACGCCGCCCCCGTCCTCGCCAAGACCGTCGTCGCTGACGAATACGACCCCCATCCCCAATACAGCTACGCCTACGATGTTCAAGATGCCCTCACCGGTGACTCCAAGAGCCAACACGAAACCCGTGACGGAGACGTCGTCCACGGAAGCTACTCCCTCGTAGAAGCCGACGGAACCCGCCGTACCGTCGACTACACCGCCGACCCCGTCAACGGATTCAACGCCGTCGTCCACAAGGAAGCCGCCGTCGTTAAGGCCGCCGTCGCCGCCCCCGTCGTCGCTAAGGTCGCCGCCCCCGTTGCCTATGCTGCTCACGCCGCCCCCGTCGCTTACGCCGCTCACGCCGCCCCCGTCGCCTACGCCGCCGCTCCCGTCGTCGCCAAGGTCGCCACCCCCGTCGCTTACGCCGCTCACGGATACGCCGCCCCCGCCTACTACCATCATTAAATTGTATCAATCTGATGTAAATATTTATTTATAAATTTAAATTGAAAATTCAGTTGCGTTTTTATTTAACTTATTTCTTCCGCAATCAAAACATCTCTCCGCAATTTTAGTTATATCCGATAATCTAAACCTGTGGTACATAATTGAAAACAATATCATGCTTTTTACACAATGGGTTTAAATACTGGGAAATATTTATTTACATTATGATGTAAATAAATAGTAAATTTTCATGCAACCCTCGATTTCAACTAAGTCGTCGCAATGTTTTCAGTGCTTAGCGCTCGGTTGGCTATACTCCACTTGAAGACTATGACACCCCCCTACCTAATCTCAGTCGAAATTCTCATTTAATAGTATGTAAAACAATGAAAACCTACAGACATTTGAAGTTACTAACTACGAATAAAAATTTTGTCGTTCGTCCACACTGACTGACTGATTAGAAATGAATGGAACAGGAAACTCAGCCAATCCTGTTTGGTTAAATATATTGGGAATATTAACAGGTACAATCGGTAACCAATTTTTGACTGCCGGTAAATAAAGTATAAACTATTTTCTTGAAAATACTATTTCGTATAAATAAACAATGTACAAAAGTAATGAATGTACAGTAATAGTTTCTGTCATTTCTCTTTCTATTGTGATACATCATATCTTTTCAACAGTTACCGTAATAAAACATATAAATCAGCGAAAAATATGTTTAATGTTAATTTAATAATATTACATTTAGAAGAAACCATTGAAAGGTTTTGACCAGTCTGCTAATTTATTAGAGTAATATCATTAATATCACTTTTGATGTTTTATAGTAGGCTATTCCAAAATTATTTGAGATTATTTTTACAATTGATTTTGAATTTAGGATTATTCCTTTTATGTGACTTTTTTCTCACACCAAAATGCCTATCTTTTAGTTTTACTAACACGATCTATTTTTCTTATTAATTCTACTTTCATCCCCATGTTTAAAATATACCGAAACACAAGGTAGAATGGTATAAGCAAATGATGTGTAAAAATTTAGATTACATTATACATTAATAATAATTTATTTAGTAAATTAATTTAGTAAATTAATTTTTCAATAATTTTAAATAAAACTTCCACGAATGGTAAATGTTAGTACCGTCGGATTATTTATTTATTTTGTAACGAAAATTATTTTAAACACCGGGAATATATGACAAATCGTTTTATGTATTGGGTACAATATTTAGTCTATAGCCAATACTAATTTATTATATATGTATGTTCGATATATGTTATGCATTTGTTTATTATCCTACACTTCATCCACTCTTTCGCGCACCTATTGACTTTCGTAAAAGTCAATAATTAAATCAATCATTGGAGAAATTGCCAGATGATGTGGTTACTGTGCTACCAAAAAACCTCTCCACTAAATTCTTATTTTTAAAGAAAACATAAAATTGCACATATAATAAAAATGAATTCAGAAACGAAATAAAAATGGTCAAAAAGCGGAAGAACTCAGAATGAGTCATTCGACACTGGATTTTACACACGTTTCACTCAAGTTCGAACGGTAATTTGCGTATACGCCAATCATAAGTCAAGGTGAGTCGGTTTTCAGTTCATTGGAACAGTTATCGCGGTGATCTAAAAGAAGTTATTTAATCGTTAAACAATTAAACACAAATATTACAAAACGCATAAATAAGAGCAATTTTTTCTAGGTCAAAGCCTTTTATTTAATATTTATTTAATTTAATTTAATAATTTAATATTTTTGGTTCAACTAGCATAACTAGGTCAAAAGGAAATCATTCGATGCCTAATATAGTCAATTATGTTATTCCAACAAAACAAGGTTCAACAAAATATTAAAAATATGATATTGTGTTTGCTCTTACCGTCGAGAAAATAATAATTTACAAAAACTTTTGTGTAACCATGTTCGAAAAAATTATAAAATGAGTTGATGATGGTGTTGGTCAGCGCGTCAGTGAACTTTATGCTAAACCGGCATAGGGTCACTTATTGGGTAGTTCCTCACTGATGATGGCTCAATGGTGAAACGGGTTTTGTGTAATTGAACAAACCCGCTAGTCAAGACGACCCAATGCCGGCTCAGTATAAAAATAATGTTTCTTTTTTATGTTCCTTAACGTTCCTTGTATCAAAAAATGAGTAAAATAGCATTAAAAAAATTATGGATAGTTTTGGGAGACTCTGGACGTGAACAGACATTTTCAAAGTTGGACCATATAAAATCTGAATTCAGATAACGATAGAATTGTCAATCAATCCAGTACGGTGAAATATTGTCTGAATGAATAAACAAATACTTTTTTCACAAAAGTTCAAATATTCACCTTCTGTAAGTTCATTAAATTTATCAAACATAATACATATTAATGGATGTAAAAATCTCGCTTCTTAATATAAAATGAGATTTTATTTTGTTTTGTGAATAGAGTTCTTATTAAAATCCTCAACTTCCTTGGCCAACCGAACATGATTAGACCTTTTCTAACAAAAGTTTGCCGCCCACTGGTAAAAACATGAATTTACTCTAAAAAATTTACGAGAGAAATGTCTTTCCTGTCCTTCCCGTCGTCGTCAAATTAAATTCCTTAGAAGAAGGCAAAATAATCGGTAATTTTAGATAACCGAAATATATTACTTTTGCGCTGAATCCTTTCGAATTTTCTACAATGATTCATTCACGAGTTTGGTCAATTAAAATTAGTCTATCATATTTGGTATAAGTTCATAAATTGTATTGGGTATTTCTTTGTGTTTTTATTGTTATAAATAAATTTACAAATTAGGACTTAGTGATGGTAGTAAGCGGGAGATCCATAGCCGACGTGAGAAGCGTATCCGAGAGGAGCGGCATAACCGTGAGCGGCGTAGGCGACGGGGGCGGCGACCTTAGCGACGACGGGAGCGGCGTAGGCGACTGGGGCGGCGACCTTAGCGACGACGGGGGCGGCAACGGCGGCCTTAACGACGGCGGCTTCTTTGTGGACGACGGCGTTGAATCCGTTGACGGGGTCGGCGGTGTAGTCGACGGTACGGCGGGTTCCGTCGGCTTCTAAGAGGGAGTAGCTTCCGTGGACGACGTCCCCGTCACGAGTTTCGTGTTGGCTCTTGGAGTCTCCGGTCAAAGCGTCTTGGACATCGTAGGCGTAGCTGTATTGGGGATGGGGGTCGTATTCGTCAGCGACGACGGTCTTGGCGAGGACGGGGGCGGCATGGGCGGCGTAAGCGACAGGGGCGGCATGGGCGGCGTAAGCGACAGGGGCGGCATGGGCGGCGTAGGCAACAGGGGCATGGGCCACATGGGCTACTGGGGCGGCGTACCCGAGTCCTCTGGCGTATCCAGCGTATCCGGCGTATCCGGCGTATCCCAGGTGAGCTCCAGGAGCGACGACGGCGGGTCCGGCGACGACTCCAGCCCTAGCGACAGCTACTACGGCAGCGAACACGAGAAACTATAAATTCAAAATAAATTATAACACAACACTTCCACGACTTTACTAAAACTAAATATAAATTTTTGTTATAAACCTGCCTTGAATGCCATGATTGCTTGATGGGAAATAATACTTTGTCCAACGAAGCTGTTCCTTTTATACACGTACGCTTGTGAAACTCTTGGCTTTCAGATATCACCCCTCTCACTTCGCCTTCAACTTAAACCACTAGTTCCATAAAATTCCGCACATTCCACACCCCGATGGATCATGTTCAAACGTATGATCTGCTATCGAACCGTTCTCATTATATGCATCCACCTCACACAAATAACACGTTGTTCAGCTTTTGCCATGAGATTTGTATTAATGAAAGAATTTTTGCTGCAGGATAGGCGACCTATCTTAAAATCCCACAAATGACATCCACTTATACAAATGAAATCACGTTTTGGTAATTATCAACTTCTTCTTCGTTCTTGTATCTTACACTTTTGTTTTTATATCTACAGTTATCCTTATCATTAATATAGCCCGATAATTTTAGAGCAGCGAATATCAAATTTATTGGGTCAGGACCTACCCTTTTAGACAACTAATAAAAAAGCGCGAGTTTTATAAAGTATATAAAAAATATATTGTCTACACTTGGTTCAAAATGATATTCAGTGTGAATGCTGTAATGTGTAATGCTTTTGTCGTTGCATGTACATATTATAAAATTTTACATGTGGCTCGCAATCCAAATTGAAGAGCGTCGAATGATTTTGCTAATGTGTGGTGATTAGTCGATCTTTAAAGATCGAAACGTTGGCACGATAAAGAAAATGTTTTTCTGAAATCTACACCACACCAGATTTTGCTAATGTTATTATCAACATTGAGGTGGTGCTATCTCGCATTAATTTAAAACTTCTAGCCCTAAACAATTTATTTGTAATATTTCATCGATTATTTTTTTGACTGATCACTTGTTCTCGTAATATTCTACAATTTGGTTTTGAACCACTTGGGGTACAGCCACCAGATTTATCGACCTTGATTATTACATTGTTAAATATAAATCAAGCTCACTTACAGTCAACCCTAATAACACAGACATAAACAATCTTTTTAGGTCGGTGTGTAGTGATTTTTTAAAAAAATATTTACATTCACATCTGTATTGGGACATGTAGCTTAGCTTATGACGACCTTGTCTCCTGGCGGAAGGATCCTTTTTACATTTGCAATAAATAACATATGATAATATTTTGAATTCTTTTTTACTAAAGTTTGCTCGAAGGACGTTTTAGACGTTTTGTGAGGAGGTGGAGATGTTAAATGAAGACATTGCAGTGAAAGATTCGGATAATTTAATAATATCACCACCCTTAGAAAGACGCATCCACAGGATATTTGACCCTGTGGCCTGTATTTTAGTGGTTCTCCATATAATTAAAAACTATAAGAATAATTAAATAAATTTCATGTGATTTTGGTCAAAAAGTAACAGGTTGACAAATAACCACTTCTCCAGGCCATAAAATGGCATAGCCGGATGGATTGAAGCCCTTTTCCTAACAGCAGAATCATCTCCATTTTTTCTTGTAATGTACAATAAATTTTAACGATTTGTTCAGTACGCAGAAGGACTATTCTTTAGTGTGATGGTTTTTAATATAAGTGTATGTATTTTTTTCCTGTGGGGGGATTGTTCATAAGCCTCTAAGGCCAACAAATCAATCATACATTTTATTTGCAAACGTTAATTTCTTTATGTTTCAAATGTTTGTATTTGTGGACAGAAATTTGCACCCGACTGTAACACCTTTTAATGAACTACATCCATACCGTCCTGGTCGATGTTATTCGAAAAAATCGTTTCGAAATTTTTCTTTCTGTACCAACAGAAAGTAATTTAATATCAATTAAAATGAAAAATAAATAAATTGGTGATTAGTTGAAGTAGTTAGGGATTCGTTTCTCCGAAAAACGATTTTTGCAAATTACTTGAGAAAGGTTCTCCAAATGAAAAACCGTTTGCACCGCTGAAATCAATGTCAAAAAGTCAACGTACATTGATGAATAGTTTATTTAATAGTTTCACATATCCCTTTATCCTGGAGAAATAAATCACAACTTTTTGGCTTACGAGAAACTAGACAAAAAGCAAAAATCTTTTTACAAAAACGCCATAATGAAAAACTCTCAACTCATCCTGTACACGCCAAACCTAACCACCGAAGGGACGAAGTTCTGAAGTACATATCCAGCAATGATTTGGACGCAAGGCAAAAAATTTAATAACAATTCCATTTAAGTAAATGCCAAAAACGATTTTTTAAGAAATTGTACAATGCATTACCAAGGCCAATTATCCGATTATAGGTGCAAAAGAACTGTTCACATGAAACTACTCTAGCTGGAATTCACTTGCACAACTTGATTGACTAAAACCGCCACAAAGGTTTTAATATTTCAACATTGAAAAATCAATTCACCATAAAAACCTAATTGCCAGATCAATGTGAAGTTGCAAATGTTATTATTTTTTTAATAAAATAGTTTCAAAAGATATATGTTAGAAATATATATAAATTTCTGAATTTTACTGCTACCATTGATGAATAATATAGATTAAATATGTTAAATTATTAATGTGGTGTTCCTGAAATTATAATTTTTTACATTGTTCAGCTCAGTTACATCCTACGATAAGTATACATATACAAAAAAACTTGTATAAATAATTGAGTGTATATACAAATTAATAGGGTACAAAATCGGCACCTGCAAATTTGGTTTCTTCACGTATCTTTTATACTTTCGAATTATAAAGAACTAAAAAGTGGTGACCATATAAAATTTCCATTTGGAAGGGAGAAATTCTCTCCGTTAAATTCATCCGTTTTGGTTAATTTGATTCGCAAAATTTAGGTGAACTAGCACGTGAAGCTCAATGAAATTATGATTTGAAACACTCATCGTTATTCTTGGTTACATCCTATTTTTACAACTTAATATATAAATCAAAATTGCTTAAGATAAATACAAAGTAGCACGAAGCGACAAAAGGAAAAAGAAAAAATCCTGGTACTGTGCTTAACTCCTACAAATTAAATGGTTGATTTTCTGGAACTATGGAAAGGACTTTTCAAATGTGTGAAAAAATTCATCCTCAAAAATTCAAAGATTCTTTATGGAGATATTAAAGTTTTCCTTCAAAACTCGATAATTTCAATTTATCATATTACTGATTGTTTTTATTTAAAGTTAGGCTTCAAAAACCCAAATTAAATTTTCATCTTTCATTAAATAAAATTTTTAAATTTCTTTTAACCCGTCACACAATAAATTGAAATCATCGAGTTCTGAAGAAAAACCTCAATATCTCCAGAACGAATCATTGAATTTTTGAGTTTCTGATCAAAAATTTTTAAGTTTAAAAATATTTTCAAAATGTGTGAAAAAGAAGTTTAAAAAAAAGTGATCGCTAGGTCGGCTTAATGCCCCAACTTGGTAAAATTCTAACAGCACCAGCAGATTCTACGTGAAAAATTAATTTACCTTTGTAACCACACTTAGTTTTACAATAAAATAGGCAGCGTAAAATTAAAAGCCAATATCTTTTATAAAACCTTACATAGTATACTACTATATATGTATTATAAAATAAGTATATAGTATGGGAGTTACCATGGCTACAACTCAATAACAACAAATGTTACACAATATTAAGTGCTACACTGTGCTTTTTTTCTAATATCACTTGACCATACTTTTCCATAAGTCTCGATGGATTGTCATGAGTGTGGTAGCTGCTAGTTTAACAAAGAGAATTTTCGTGGGTGGACAGGTTAAAGAATTTAAGACGGCGGGTTCGTTCTAGGACGAATAAATAGAATGTTGAGATCGATGTGATGGTGAAGTTTGACGTTTAAAAAAATTTAGTCGCCTAACCTGTAAAAATACAAATAATAAGCTTGACAAACTTATAACGGTTAACTTTCATCGACCACATCCCTGATATTAATCTATAACCTGAGAATTGCTATTCGATATCTACAAACTTACTGAACGCAACAAGCTCTCAATGTACCACGTAAAAATTACAATAATCGTAAAATGCCATTCCAGCCCTGGTTGAGGATTGTAATATAAAGAAGGGATGTTCTGATGGATCTTCGATTACAGAGACTCGATGTTGAAGCTTGGCAAACTTATAGCAGTTATCTTGATTGACCTCATCTCTGATATACGTCCAAGCTTTCAAAATTGCTCGTCGATATCATTATATCCTTACTGTATGTAAAGAATTGACAAACTACCATGTTAAAAAATAAAATAAGAAATATTGTAAAAGGCAAAGACTGCTCTCCAGCCCTGGTTAAGGATTGACGTAAGGATGGCATTCACTATTTTCTAAAGGTTCTTGTTCTGTTGAATTCTTTGGATGATGAAGTATTTCATTGAAGTCGGTTTTAATAATTTATATCAGGAGTTTATTATTTGGTTTATTATTATTTTTATTAGTTTCGTTCGACGGTGTTAAAGATGGTAATGAGTATGAACGTCTTCAAGTTCAGTCTTGTTAAATACAATGAAGTTTGGTCGTTGCCGATCTTTAATCGCTGTTTTCGCCTGTCTAAATTTCACCTTTTAGACCCTTGGGCAGACATAAACGATCGTAAACGGTCAAACTATAGATTTACACCCCGCAGACCCCGAGAGAAAAATCTCACAATATTAACGTTATTAATATGTATTAATTAATCTCACAATCAAATGTTTTTTTGCCTCCATAATATGGTCGTAAGGATTTTTTCCTTTGTAACTTAAACTTTCGTCTCTGCTAATGGATTTCTTGGAAGATCGATTTCTTTTATGAAGTAAAGAATTCTTCTCAAAGGTTTGGTATCAAGAATGGTTTTCCCACCTACCCTAGCTTTTTCATAACTATTGCAGAGCATTTGCTACCTCTTCTGGACATAATCGACATTGAACAACTGTTGATGTTCCATTTTGTAAAGGAATATTTAACTGGAGTGTGTCTTGTAATTATGCAAGTTAGAGGTTTTAATTCCTTTCTGTTAAGTAGGATTTCCTCTTTTCCATTGGGTTATTTTTGCGAGTAGTCTTTTCACTTGCCTCGTGCCTGGTTTTCCTTCCAATTGTTGTTTGTACTGTGTTGATCTGCGAAAGTGAACTC